GTAACCTCCAGGAGAAGCTGGCTGCCCTGGGTGTGAAGACACACAAGCTCTGATAAACATAGTACAGCCAGTGTATATATAGACCCTCCCACCTGGTTTCCAAAAGGATTTGCAACAGCTTTCACAAAAGGCGAAGAAATGAGCATTGAGAGTGAGCCAGGGTTTACACATGGGCCCCTCACGTCACAGGCCTGGGGAACTAGAACAGGGACAAGAAGATGGAGTCCAGATCCCTCCAGGAATCGTGTCTGTATGTGAGTGAGCTCCCCATCAGGGCGGGTATGCAAGCAGAGGACGGCAGGCCTTGGTGGGGGTGTGGTCGAGGGGATTGGTGGATCAGGGAGAGGTGTGGTCAGATGTCAAGCCCCTATTGGAAGATGAGGTGACTGGTCCTGCCTGCCCACCATGGCCCCTGCCCACAAGGAAACCAGGATGAGATAATGCTGGTGTTGGGGGCCTGTATTCATCTGTTTCATTGTTGCTATAACAAAATACCACACACTGGATGATTTCTTCTTTTTTCTTTTTTTAAAGGGAGACAGGGTCTCAATCTGTCAGCCAGGCTGGTGTGCAGTGGCAATCACCGCTCAGTGCAGCCTCGATCTCCTGGGCTCAAGCAATCCTTCCACTTCAGCTCCTGCAGTAGCTGGGACTGCAGACAGCCACCACCATACCTGGCTTTTTTGTAGGGATGGGGTGTTGCTATGTTGCCCCAGCTGGTCTTGAGCTACTGGCCTCAAGCGATCCTCCCGCCTTGGCCTCCCAAAGTGCTGGGATTACAAGTGTGAGCCATGTGCCCAGCCCAGACTGGGTACTTTCTAAACAACAGAAATTTCTCAGGGTTCTGGAGGCTGGGAAGTCAAGATCCAGGCCAGCATCTAACACGGCCTTCCTGCTGTGTCCTCCCATGGCAGAAGGAAGGCGGAAAGGCAAGAGAGTGCTGGAAGGAGCGCGGGAGGGCAAAACGCCCTTTTATTACAACCAACCACCTGGGTAACTAACCCACTGGGAGATGGCTGGCGGCTTTCATCCATTCAGGAGGGCGGGCCCCCAGGACCTAATCCCGCTGTGAAGCCCCACCTCCCAACACAGCAGCTTGGGGGACACATTCAATCCTGCTGGCCCCTGACCATTCCCTGGGGGAAGAGGGACTTGACCACTGTTTCGGGACTGCTGGAGCCTGAGCCGCCAGGTGGGCAGCACGGGCCTCCTTGGGACCTGCCGTCAGAAGCAGAGCTCGGCTCCGAGGGAGGGCATGGGAGCGGGAGCGAAGCCCGGACGATGCTAACCCCGGCATGAGTGCTGCCTGCTGTCTGGCCTGAAGCTCCTGCCTTCCCTTCTCTGAGGTGCAGAGTCCTCAGCCAGCACAAGGCGTGAATCGGCTCGCTTCTAGAGAGCCTTCCCAGGGCGGACACCTGGAATAAACAGAACGGCAACGCTGCCCCCAGACCACCTCCTGCCCAGCCCTGCTACCTGCTGTCTGCGCTGGGCCTTGGGGCAGCCTTCCTGCACCTGCCCTGTCTGCTGTGAGCAAGGCCGGCACCTCCTGGTCTTGCGCGGGAGGCGGTCAGCGGAGCAAGAATGAAAATAAATAAATGTGAAGAAAGTGCGGCAGGGCAAGGGTGGTCAGTGAGGCATCTGAGGAGACCCCTGAGCGGGAGCACATCCGGGCAAGAGCGTTGCGGGCGGAGAACAAGACCGCCCGTGCAGAGGCCCTGCGCCGCCAGGCTCGGGGCGAAGCGCAGGGAGCCAGGCTCAGGGTACAGGGGAGGCGGGGACGGGCGCCCAGGGTGGGGCACTGTGGACCATGAGGAGGCCCCCACGGAAGACGGGAGCTGCAGCAGGGATCTGGAGGAGAGGCTTCCCGCCCTGGCCTCTAGAAGGGAATTCGCCAAATCCTCCCTCCACAGCCTCGCTGCTCCGGAGCAGGCCTGTCTGCTGCGTTTTCTTTTTCCTTTTTTTTTTTTTTTTTTTTTTTTTTTTTTTTTGGGCGCCAGGGTGGGGCACTGTGGACTATGAGGAGGCTCCTCACGGAAGACGGAGCTGCAGCAGGGATCTGGAGGAGGCTTCCTACTCTGGCCTCTAGAAGGAATTAGCTTGGGGTCCTCCTCTCCACAGCCTCGCTGCCCGAGCAGGCCTGTCTGCTGCTTTTTCCTTTTTTTTTTTTTTTTTTTTTTTTTTGAGAAGGAGGTCACTGCCACCCAGGTTGGAGTGTAGCAGTGCGATCTCAGCTCACTGCAACCTCTGCCTCCCAGGTTCAAGCGATTCTCCTGCCTCAGCCTCCCAAATAGCTTGGATTACAGACGTGCGCCGCCACGCCCGTCTAATTTTTGTATTTTTTTTTTTTTTTTTTTTGAGACGGAGTCTCGCTCTGTCGCCCAGGCTGGAGTGCTATGGCCGGATCTCGGCTCACTGCAAGCTCCACCTCCCGGGTTTACGTCATTCTCCTGCCTCAGCCTCCCGAGTAGCTGGGACTACAGGCCCCCGCCAGCTCGCCCGGCTAGTATTTTTTTGTATTTTTTAGTAGAGATGGGGTTTCACCATGTTAGCCAGGATAGTCTCGATCTCCTGACCTTGTGATCCGCCCGTCTCGGCCTCCCAAAGTGCTGGGATTACAGGCTTGAGCCACCGCGCCCGCAGTTTCACCATCTTGGCCAGGCTGGTCTCGAACTCCCGACCTCAGGTGATCCACCTACCTTGGCCTCCCAAAGTGCTGGATTACAGGCGTGAGCCAACACGCCCGGCCTGTCTGCTGCATTTTTAATGCTGCCTGATGAGGAGGCTCTCACGGCTATAATTGAACAGAAAGTCCACATGCCTCTGCCATCTCCGGGTCCAGAGACTCATTAATCCCGGGCCTGCAAGAGGCGCCTGCCCGGACTCTGCTGCCTGACAGGAAATGCGGGCGTCCGGCCTCGGGGGAAGGGGGGCCCGGCCGCTCCCCATCCCCATTCCCCCACTTCAGGGCCAGGGAACAGGGGAGAGGGGACCTGCCGCTTGAGACCTCCACGGAGGCCCTGGGTAGTGTACACTGTCAAGGGCCTGCGCTTCGTAAATGTTAATGAACTGTACACTGGCTTCCCCACTCTGATGGCTGGACACGCTCTGTAAAAGCCAAAGTCTCCCATACATGGCAAGGGAACTGGAAACGACTGGGGCTGCAGTCGTGCGTGGAGGCGCCTGCTCTCTGTGAAGGGCTGAGGCGTCCAGCCAGGCCTGCGAGCCGCGAGCTGCGCGGGGAGCTGCGGGGCGCTGGGTAACCTCAGGGGCGCGCACGGTAAATCACTAGGCTTTGGGTCTGCTGCTCTCTGCAGGCTGCAGAGTCCCCAGAAGCCCCGAGGGCCGGACCGGGAGGTGCACACGGGTAGGACAGCCACGGAGGCCGAGAACTGGGCTGACGCGTGGCAAGCCCGCGGCCTCCAGCCGCGCCGAGGACACACGAGGACGCGGACCGGCGCTCGGGGCCGGGCGGGGCTCCAGGGCACGCGGTTGAAGCCGAGCTCTATCGCCCCCTGGCGGCTACAGGAGACGGAACCGGGGGCCGCGCCCCACCAAGGGATTCATTCCCTTCCTCCCCCCTTCCCTCCCTCCCTCATTCATTCTTTGATGTGTTCATTCAGCAGAAGCCGAGCGCTCCCTCGGTGTCGGCAGCATTCTCAGTGCTGACGACACAACAGTGACAAATCAGGTCTCGGCCTGGATAACCCAGGATAATGAGCTAGATTGGCTGGGCCTGGTGGGTGGAGGCTATTTGAGCCAGGGTGGTCCTGGAAGACGTCGCTGAGGAGGTGACATGGGAGACCCGGATGGGATTGTGGGGAGCCAGTCACAGGAAGACGGGGGAGGGGGTGTTCTACGCAGAGTGGACAGTCAGTGCAAAGGTCCTGGGGTGAGAACAAGTCTTCACGATTGAAGGATGGAGGGAGGGAGACAACAGCTCCCAGAAACTATTAGCCCCTGTGCCAGGGAAGGGTTAGAGGGCAGAGACCTGACCCAGACTGGGACTGGAGGACAGGAGGAGTGTGGCAGGACAAGGGTGAGACAGACCCCATGGGGACCCTCCTCCTGGGAACACACCCTAAGCTTCCTCAGATGACCACAGAGGCCCTGCTCTCAGACCTTAAGCCGTGGTGCGCTGAGTCCCTCATGCCTGCCCTGACCTGAGCCGTCACACCCACCCTCCTGGCGTGGGGATGAATCCGACTCCTTCCCAGCTGGTAAGAGCCAGTCCTAGGACTTTGGGGTACCCTGGGCACGGTGTGCTGAACTCTTGGAGTCCCTGGGTCCTGACTGGTCCCCATGAGGGGGTGAACCTGAGACTGATGAACAGCCAAGGTGGACGCAAGTCCTTCAGGCCATCAGCTGAACTTCAAACCCAACGGTACCTGCAGCTGAGCACACCCTGCTTACGTGAGCAAATTCACTGCTGCCCCGGCCATGCTACCAGTGTCACAGGGCCAGACTGCAAGGGCGTCTTCATCAGGCTGCCCCCACTCCCCTCGGAGCCTTCTGCGGAGCCCACCACCTGTCTCCAAGTCTGTTTTTCTCTTATAAGCTGTGTGGCTTTGGGCAAGTGATGTCAGCTCTCTGGGTCTGTTTTCCCATCTGTAAACTGGAGGTCACGTAACCTCCATGAGGTCACCGTGTCCAGCCCAGGCACAGTGTCCGGGGTGCTCGCCGCTCTGTGCACCTGGCTGTCATCACTGCTCCAGGACAGTGGGATGGGTGGCCGCCACCAGCGGGCTGGGCCTGTGTGTTCACTGCTCTGTCCAGCGTCAGTACAGGGCCTGGTGCCTGGATGATCACAGGATGTTACCTCGTCACAGCCCTCTGGGGGCCTCTGTGTCCTCAGATATAGAAGGGCCTGATGGGTCGGCAACCCTCCCTCCCCTAAGCACGACACCCTGGCCCTGGCCCAGAGGCAAGGGTCCCTCGAGGGGCCACAACCTTCCCCAAGTAAGAGGGGGGCTCGCAGGTGTCATATGGAGTCTCACACAACCTTTAATCCTTTTCTTTTCTTTTTTTTTTTAATTAAAACAGCAACCAGGTAACTGCCCCAACCCATCAGGGAAAGGACCCGGGATGGGCAGTCGTTTTTTCAAAAAAATATATTTTCTTTTTTTAAAAACACCACCAAAGCAAACCCATAGCCCCCGTTGAGCCAGTCCTCAGGGAGAGTGGGCGGGAAGGCTCCCCCTGCACTTCTCTGAGCAGAGATCTTGGGCCCCTCCCACTGGACCCCAGCCTGAGCAGAGGGCAAGGCTGATACCCTAGGGGGTGGGGGAGAAGCGATCAGATCCAAACCATGCAAGAAAAACAAGCCAAACCCATAAAGCAAAAGAAAAAATCAACAGAGGATAAATTAAAAAAAAACAAAAAGGTGAATGACACCGATTAGGGTGGCGGGCAGGACTGGGTGACCCAGTGTGCCCCGCAGAGGCCCCGTTCGCCAGTGCCAGCGGAAGGCCTTGGGCGGCTCATGGCATCTCCCTCATGGGAGTCTTGGGGGATTCACACAGCTCATCCCCTCTTGTGTACCCCGCACCAAAGCCGGGATAGAGGTGTGGCCACCCTGGGCCAAAGTGTGCAAAGTCCATTCAGTCAAGAGATTAAAAAAATATACAACTTGGGTGGCATCCAGGCTGGGCAAGGCAGTGGCCCATTCACCCAGGCACCAGCGGCCTGCTGTGCAAGGGGCAGCAGCATCCACAGGGGGCATCCAGGCCCCCTCAGTCCAGGATCTCAGCAGCTGGAGACGGGTCCTTGGAGCAGCAGGGAGAGGCACTGGTGGGGCCGACAAGGGCCTGGCTGGCAGCCCCGATGGTCTGCTTCTTTGGCACTTGGGACAAATGGCTCGCTGCAGAGTCAGGTGGGAACAGGCCCCTCGGTTCCTCCCAGGTGCCCTGGGCCAGGATGGCAGTAGCTTATGGTATGGGTGAGCACTGCCCCCGTAGATGGAGCTATGGGGCTCTGGAGGGCCGGAGTGGGGTCCGAGGCCCAGCCCCTATGAGTCTTCGCCCAGGATCTCCTTCACGAAGGCAGCGATGTCTGTCTTCTTGGTTTTGTGCAAGGTGAAGAAGGGGTGCTCCTGGGGGTGACAGAAGGCACAGTCACCATGGAGGGGCTAGCGGGAGGGGGAGGTGGCCACTCCTCCCCAACCAGCTCCGGCCCAAGTGTTCCTCCTGACTGGCAAAATCCTACTCATCCTTCTAGGACCTCCACCCCCAGAAGGCCCTCCATGGCAGTCACAATGGCATTTGTGCCTCCTCCTCAACTCTCTTGTGGTCACTCTCCAGCCACACTGACCTCCCTTTTCCCCGACACGTCAGGCCTCTGCCCATGCTGGACCTTCTGCTTGGGACAGCCTCTCCGTCAGCAGATAACCCTTATTCATCCTTCCAGGCTCAGTTCAAATGGTACCTCCTCCATGAAGCCTTCCCTGATGCCACCCTTGGCCCCTCTGCCCCATTCTGTCACACACTGCCTGTGTATCCTTCCCAGGGCCTGGCATGCAGGAAGGAGGGAGGAGGGAGCCAGGTATGCAGGAGCAAACAAATGACCGAGCACCTAAAGGAGTGAACACAGGGCCAGCCGGAGGAGCTACCCATCTGTGTGCAGGACGTAGCCCTCTGCCCAGAGCCCCACCCAGCCCCAGCCAGCCCCGAAGAGCAAGGCAGGCACCTCCCGCCCATACTCACCATCAGCTCCAGGTAGCTCATACGCTCTGCGGGGTTCTTCCTCAGGCTAGGAGAGAAGAGTGCAGCTGTGGCCAGGCTGGCAGCGAGGAAGGAAGCCCAGCCCCCGAGGGCCAGCCAAGCCACTCTGGGATTGCCCCAGGCCTGGCAGCAGGGGACACGTGCACCCAGGGAAGATGGGACAGGAGTGTCCAGGGCTTCTCCCAGGGTGGAGGGGCATTCATAGGGGCAAACTAGAGACTCGCAGCAAGTTTCTCTGGCTCTTGGGGTCCTGGTTTTCTTGTCTCCATAGTGACCTAGGAATTTCCATATCAACACCAAAATGGGACTGCAATGTTCTGCCTAACAAGCATACACTCCGTATCCTCAGTCAGGAGAGAAAACTCCTTATCGTGGGTTCTGGGAGAGGTTAGTCCCCAGTTAAAGGGGTCAGACTGCCCAGGGACACTGCTGGGCTCCTCTGTTGCTGATTATGGTCAACAACAAAAGTGCTGGGACCATGGGTGTGAGCCACCGCACCCGGCCGCTTCTTCCTTACCCGTTTCTTGCTCTGTTTAATTATGGTCAGAGAAGTTGGTCTGTATGACTTTGCCTTCTTCCTTATTCCCTCTGTAACCTCAAACATGATTTTTTTTTAAGAGAGAATCTCGCTCTGTCGCCCATGCTGGAGTGCAGTCGCATGATCTCCGCTCAGGCTCACTGCAACCTCTGGCTCCTGGGTTCAAGCGATTCTCGTGCTTCAGCCTCCTGAGTAGCTGGGATTACAGACGTACACCACCAGGCCTGGCTAATTTTTCTATTTTTAGTAGAGACAGCATTTCCCCATGTTGATCAGGCTGGTCTCCAACTCCTGACCTTATAATCCGCCCGCCTCAGCCTCCCAAAGTGCTGGGATTACAGGCATGAGCCACCGCACCCAGCCTCTCAAACATGATTTTTATAAGGCTCCTGTGGGGCATTCTTTAATTTGGTACAAAGTTCTAGATATCAATAAAAGCAAACTTGTTTTTTGTGTTCAAATCTTCCATACACTTTGTTCTCTTTTCAGTCTATCTGATTTGTCCACTTCTGGAAGAACTATATTAAAGTCTCCCACCGGGACCATCGTTTTGTCAAACGCGCCTCATGCTCCAGCTGTTTCTGCCTTACATATTTCGATGCCATGTCATCTGGGGGTTTATTTGCTAAAACAAAAAGGAACAGGGCCCAGGAAGGTGCAGGGATCTGGCCAGGGAGGGGCAGTGACAGGTGCTCAGCAGCACCCAAGACTCACCACTGAGCAGTGAAGTCCACAAACTCGGGGGAGAAACGGTCGGCTGGGAGCTGGGGGGACGGCTCCTCCACCACCTGCTTCAGCTGCTGGAACGGGGTCCCCCAGGACTCGTAAGGGAACCGCAGGATGGCCATCTCAATCTGTAGTGGTGACAGGGGGGGTCAGAGGCCCTGGCCCCAGATACACTCACGCTCTGCACCCAGGAGCCAGGGTTGGGGGCTCCCACCCATCCTGGTCCCAGAGCCAGGCCTCAAAGCTGCACAGCTCATCTCCCTATCACAGCCCAGCAGAACAAAGGCAAGAAAGCTCTTAGCTCCTCCCACTCAGCCAGCAGGACCCAGCTCAGGAAGCAGATCCCGCCGACGCCGGGACTGGTGGGACCATCACTGGGTTTTCAGACAACCTGAATTCTGAAGATTTTACAAAACAATGCAGGTTCCAGCTGCTCTGGAAAAATCTGAGGAGGTGGCAACCACGGACCGCAGCCTCATGAGCCAGGTGGGCAGGTCCCAGGTGGTCACAGCCATTCCCCGCCCTAACATTTGACCATCTCAGACTTCAGCATCTGCTGTCATTTATTTGGGCTGCTGTTTTCACAGAGGAGGCACATGGGAAATGCTACACACACACACACACACACACACACACACGGCTGTCCCCAAGGCCACAGACAGAGCGTGAGACCATAAGGCTGCCTCGCCTCTGCACCCGTGAGCCTGCAGCCTCATCTTCTGCAGGGCCCCGGCAGTTTCCCTCCTAGACAAGTGGCCTGTGTGGCCACATGTGCCCTGCTGGATCCGGATTTCCTGTGGGTGACATCGGGCCGGTGGGTCTCTGTACTCGCTCCAAGCTCCCAGCCCTGTGTCCTCCCTGTGGTTGGCAAGAAGTCATCATGGAAGGGATGGACTAGCTAGGACTAGTCTGGGCTCCAGTCATGAGGACTGGATGGAAAAAACAAGTCATGTCAGCCCTGGCTCCAGCCTGGAAGAACAGAGAATTCCGAGGCTCCAGCACAAGGGCCCTCGCTGATGGCCATCCTCACCATGATGAACGGAAGAGACCTCAGCACAAACGCTTGGCGCTGGCAACTGGAGCCTGGACAGAACCCTAAGCACTGTGCTGAGAACATGCCTCCCATCAAGCTAGAGGCCCTTTCCAGCTCGGACACAAACATACCCACACAGGCAGGGCCCACTGTGTGCGTGTGCGTGTGTACACGTGTGTTCACAGGACAAAACCGTACCGATTTGGGGGGCTTTTCTTTTAGAATTTTCACTGACTGCAATATGTAGAGCAAGGTCCCCACATGAGCTGCAGGAGAAGGGCCAGTGGCCATGAGAGTTATAATTAGAAAACCAGAAGTGTCCAAATCCTCAACCTCGTACTCCTTTATTTTTTCTAAAGAGCTCAAAAATACCTGGGCGCGGTGGCTCACGACTGTAATCCCAGCACTTTGGGAGGCTGAGGCAGGCAAATCACAAGGTCAGGAGTTCGAGACCAGCCTGGCCAACATGGTGAAACCCTGTCTCTACTAAAAATACAAAAAATTAGCCGGGCATAGTGGAGGGCACCTGTAATCTCAGCCACTCCGGAGGCTGAGGCAGGAGAATAGCTTGAACCTGGGATGTGGAGGTTGCAGTGAGCCGAGATTACTCCACTGCACTCCAGCCTGGGCGACAGAACAAGACTCCGTCTCAAAAAAAGCTCAAAAAATGAAAAACAACCAAAATAGCCTCTGGGCACAAAGATGTGCCATATGGTGTTATCTGCCAGGAAATGTTTAGAAGCAGCCTGATTGTCCAGCACCAGGGGCCAGTCCCACTGTGGGGGCAGAGACCCAGCCAGGACCGTAGTCTCACCCCTGTGACTCCCCAGCGACACTAACAGGCCAGCACCCAGTCAGCACTCGCTCCTGGCCAAGGGCTATCCCTGGCATGACCCCTGTCTGTTCTGGGTGATTCCCACTGGCATCCTGAGGCTTGTGCAGTGAGTGGGAAAAAGCCAATGCCAAGAGAGCGCTGGGGCCCTTGCAGGATGGGGTGAGGCCGAGACCAGGGTCCCACCCAGGGTGACTCTCCCGACTCTGTTTCACCAGTCACTTCCCCAGGATGGCCAAGAATTTCAAATGGAAGGAAAACATGGCCGGGTGCGGTGGCTCAAGCCTGTAATCCCAGCACTTTGGGAGGCCGAGACGGGCGGATCACGAGGTCAAAAGATCGAGACCATCCTGGCTAACAAGGTGAAACCCCGTCTCTACTAAAAAAATACAAAAAACTAGCCGGGCGAGGCGGCGGGCGCCTGTAGTCCCAGCTACTCGGGAGGCTGAGGCAGGAGAATGGTGTAAACCCGGGAGGCGGAGCTTGCAGTGAGCTGAGATCCGGCCACTGTGCTCCAGCCTGGGCGACAGAGCGAGACACCGTCTCACTAAAAAAAAAAAAAAAAAAAAGAAAAAGAAAACATCAGGGACAAGAGAAACATCCCACATCAGCAGACAGGGTGAGTGAACGGTGGCAGATGGTTATGGAGTCTTTGGAAGAGATACATACAGGAGTCTATTACAATTTAGAGAAATTGGCCAGGTGCGGTGGCTCACACCTGTAATCCAAGCACTTTGGGAGGCCGAGGCGGGCAGATTACATGAGGTCGGGGGTTCGAGACCAGCCTGACCAACATAGAGAAATCCCGTCTCTACTAAAAATACAAAATTAGCCAGATGTGGTGGTGCACGCCTGTAATCCTAGCTACTTGGGAGGCTGCGTGAGGCAGGAGAATCACTTGAACCTGGGAGGCAGAGGTTGTGGTGAGTTGAGATTGCACAATTGTACCCCCCCCCCGGGGAAAAAAGAAAAAAACTACGTCAAAGAAAAAAAAAAAAAAAAAAACAGAGAGAGAGAAAAATATGAACAATATGCAATGCTATAAAATAAAAATAAAAAAGGTTTTTAAAAAGAAGCATTAAGAGGCTGGGCGCAGTGGCTCACACCTGTAATCCCAGCACTTCAGGAGGCTAAGGTGGGTGGATCAGAGTCAGGAGTTTGAGACCCGCCTGGCCAACATGGTGAAACCCCATCTCTACTAAATATACAAAAATGAGCCGGGCATGCTGGCACACGCCTGTAGTCCCAGCTACTCGGGAGCCTGAGGCAGGAGAATAACTTGAACCTGGGAGGCGGAGGTTGCAGTAAGCCAAGATCACACCACTGCACTCCAGTGTGGGCGACAGAACGAGACACTGTTTCAACAACAACAAAAAAAGAAGCATTACATATTGTTCATATTTCTCTAAATTATAATAAAATGTATTTTATATAAATATATATAATAAAAATATTATATATATAATATAATGCACAATATTGGCACTGAAATGGGGTAAGAGGTGTCTCTAGGTAGCTAACTACAGTCATTTTCCCCTTACTTTGCCTCTGTATTTTTATGTTAGGTTTCCACCACTTTTGTAACTTGTGGGAGAAAAACCTAACCCGTGCCCAAAGAGGCCACCTCCACCTCCACCTCCCTGTGTGCGCCTGCCAATCCTCCATCAAGCTGGGAGCATTCCCTGTCCTTGAACCTGAGATGGCCTGTGACTTGCTGACCAAACAAGGAGGCAGAAGTGATGCTGTGCCAGTTCCAGGCCTAGCACTTCAGAGGACTTCCTTTTGGATGCCAGCCATCATGAAAGAACTCCAACTCTGCTGACACTGCCATGCTCTGAAACCCAGGGAGCAGGCCAATGTGAGTAAGTCGCATGGAGAGGCCAGGCGGAGGAGGCCCATGTTTGTGAGGCTGTGTTGGGACTTCCAGCCCAGCCCAGCCCAGCCATGACCCCAGCCAGTGCCAGGTACAGCAGAAGAGCCATCCAGCTGAGCCCAGCCATAATGGTGGAAACATGAGAAATAAGAAACTGCCGTTGGTTTGGGTCAGTAGGTTCTGGGTTGGTTTGCTATGCAATACTTGATAACTGAAATATATTTAGCACACACTTGTCCAAGTTCCATCAGCTACATCAGAAGGCCACTAGCTGTGGTGGGCCCAATAATGATGATGGATGGACAGATGGAAGGGAGACAGAGAGGTGGGGAAGGGACATAAGGGTGTGTGTATGTGTGAGGTGGTCATGAGTGGGGTCTCTAATATCCAACCAGTTCTGTGTAGTCTAAATACAGCAAGAACTTGTCCTTTGCATCTAACCTAGGACTTGGAAAACTGTTATTGCAGATAGAGCACCTGCCTTCAGGCTGAATATTCCTCTCCACCTCAAAAAAAAAAAAAGTTCAATTGAAAAATTACATGTCACCAATTAAAGAAAATTGAAGATATGGCCCAGTCCCACCTCTCTGACAAAATTATTTCGACTTTGAGTCTTTCTCAGTCACTGTCTACAGATACACTGTTTATAAAGTTACAGCCACAGGCCAGGCGCAGTGGCTCAAGGCTGGGCGTGGTGGCTCATGCCTGTAATCCCAACACTTCGGGAGGCCGAGGCGGGTAGATCACCTGAGGTCAGGAGTTGGAGACCAGCCTGGCCAATATGGCGAAACCCCGTCTCTACTAAAAATACAAAAATTAGCTGGGAGTGGTGGCAGGCACCTGTAATCCCAGCTATTCAAGAGCCTGAGGCAAGAGAATTGCTTGAACCTGGGAGGCAGAGGTTGCAGTGAGCTGAGATTGTGCCATTGCACTCTAGCCTGGTCAACAGAGTGAGACTCTCTCAAAAAAATAAAAAAATAATAAAAAAAGGCCAGGTGCAGTGGCTCATGCCTGTAATCCTAACACTTTGGGAGGCAGAGGCAAGCAGATCACCTGAGGTCAGGAGTTTGAGACCAGCCTGGCCCACATGGCAAAACCCCATCTCTTCTAAAAATACAAAAATGTGCCAGGTGTGGTGGCTCACGCCTATAATCCCAGCTACTGGGGAGGCTGAGGCAGGAGAATTGCCTGAACTCGAGAGGTGGAGGTTGCAGTGAGCTCAGATTGTGCCATTGCACTCCAGGCTGGGTGACAGAGTGCGACTCTGTCACCAGAAAAAAAAAAAAGCCGGGCATGGTGGCACAAGCCTGTAATCCCAGTTACTTGGGAGGCTGAGACAGGAGAATCACTTGAACCTAGGAGGCAGAGGATGCAGTGAGCCGAGATTGTCCCACTGCACTCCAGCCTGGGCAACAAAGTGAGACTCCATCTCAAACAAATAAAAATAAAAAATAAATAAAGTTCCAACCACATGATGATAATAACGACGGTAGCAGCAACACCAGTGAAACCCACAACACCCGCGTCAACTCTCTATCCACCAGACCCTTCTCTTCCCTCGCTCCCAACCCTCCCTCCCTCTCCTCTGACCCGGCCACCCAGGCACACAGCAGGCACAGCCCCACCTCGGGGCCTTTGCACCTGCACCCCCTGGTCTACCCTGCCCTCAGGTCAGCAGGGTGCCTTCTTTGCAGAGGCCTCCGCATCTGCAACAGTGGCCTTCCACCTGTCCCCAGGGCCACCCCCACCTGCCCTACTCTTCTCCACCCCTATGGCATCAAAAGAAATTTATTTGGTCTTTGTTCCTGGCACAGAGCTCCTAAAACCCTTGGAATTTCCTGAGTGACAGGAGTGGTTTTGTTATCCACAAGGAGCCTGAGTTTATGCTAATGAGGTGACTCAGGGTGAGGCCCCTAGACAGCCTCAGGACCGGGCTGCTGCCCAGAAAACCCAGCTGATTATACGGAGTGGGAACTCTCAGCATCACCTGCCAACTGACACTGAGAGGAGGGGGCTGCAGACTGTGCTCTATAAAAACTTTCAGTGGGTGCGGGAGCTTGTGCCTATAATCCCAGCACTTTGGGAGGCCGAGGTGGGCAGATTGCTTGAGCCAAGGATTTCAAGACCAGCCTGGGCAACACAGTGAGACTCCTCTACAAAATATTTAAAAAATTAGCTGGGCGTGGGGGCACACACCTGTAGTTCCAGCTACTTGGGAGACTGAGGTGGGGGGATGGCTTGAGCCTGGGAGTTCAAGGCTGCAGTGAGCTGCGATCGCATCACTGCACTCCAGCTTCAGCAACAGAGTGAGACCCTCTCTCAAAAAAAACTTCTCCATGTGAGGCCGGGCGCAGTGGCTCATGCCTGTAATCCCAGCACTTTGGGAGGCTGAGGCGGGCAGATCACTTGAGGTCAGGAGTTCGAGACCAGCCTGGCCAACATGGCAAAACCCCACCTCCACTAAAAATACAAAAATTAGCTGGGCATGGTGGTGCCTGTAATCCCAGCGACTCGGGAGGCTGAGGCACAAGAATCGCTTGAACCCAGGAGGCAGAGGTTACAGTGAGCTGAGACTGTGCCACTGCACTCTAGCCTGGGTGACAGAGTGAGACTCCGTGTCAAAAACAACAACAAAACTCCATGAGCTTGAGGAGCCTGTAGATTGGGCAAGCACAGGGAGGTACCAGGAGGGTGCCAGGCCCTGAGAGGGCATGGCAGCTCTGTACCCCTCACTCACACCCCTCCCCCCATGAGTCTCTTCCACCTGGCTGGTCCTGAGTTATATCCTTTCTGATAAACCAGTAAACACAAGTAAAGTGTTTTCCTGAGTTTTGTGAGCCATTATCAAACCTTAGGAGAGGGTCATGGGAAACCCCAATTTGTAGCCGGTCAGTCCAGCAGTATGGGAGACCCGCTACTTCCAACTGGTGTGTGATGTTGGGGGCAGTCTGGTGGGAGAGAGCCCTTAACATGTGAGGTCTGTGCGAACTCCAGGTAGCATGAGAACCGAACAGAACTGCAGGACACTGGGTGGGTGTCTGGAGAATCTGAGAATGGGTTGTAGTGTTGGAAAACACCCCGCCACTGCTTCTCACCACGTCTTACTGATTTCCTCTGATGGCCTCATCCCCAACGCCAAATAGTCAAAGGGACTGGGGATAAGCAGGAATGTCCTGGGCCAGGCTTCCCTGGGCAGGGAAGGAGCTGATGCCCAGAAAACTCCATTGGTCCCAAGCCACGCAGCTGGCCAAGGCCACCGGCCTGAGCCCTACCTGCTGATGGCATCGTCCTTCCACGCATCTCCTGTACAACTTCCTAGCCCTGGCTGGGGGACACACCCTGGTGGTCTTCCCATCCTTCCAATCCACGATCCACATGGGAGTCAGAGCAGGCTCACCCACACCTTGACCTGAGCCCCGACGCGGAAGGCATGGGGTTTTGCCAGGCAATTCCAGAAGCAATGGCTCTGGGTCCATCCCTACACCTGGACTTCTGCCACATCTGCTCTCACCCTACCCAAGCCAGGGATGCCTTTGGCCTCCGCAGGCCCAGGATTGAGAGTCCACCCACCCTTCCTACCACTCCACAGCAAGGTACCAGCACGCCACTGGCAACAAACCTTCTGCTACGAAATATTTTTGAAAAGATCTTCACCATCTTGCTTTTGCATGATTTACATACCAGGAACTCACATAATTTGGGATTGGCTGTGATTTCTCAACAAGCACCAAGAACTCCAGAGAAAGCCCTGTGGCCACCATATCACAAAGCGCCCAGGACTTCATGATGAGTGACCCTGACCCTACGACGTTCCCCTAAATCAACGTTAATTTCTGATGGCATGTTTTCGTCTCAGATTTTGAAGCCAATACTTCTTTCCAGAGCCTAAACTATTTGAGGAGTGCCCCAAAAGCTCACTGGCCCCAGGCACGGCTCCACCCATCCCACCTGACCACCAAGGGCAGGCTCTGGCCCCACACAGTACCATGGTAATGCCCAGGCTCCAGACGTCGGACTTGACATTGTAGCCCTTCTGGTTCAGCTCCGGGTTGATCCTCTCAGGCTGCAGGAGGGAACAGTGAGGCGTGAACACCCGCCCCAGGTAAGCTCCGATGGCTAGGCCTTGCCTCCCAATCCCCAAACTGAGCGCTCAGCTTAGCCCACCTGCCCATGTGACGGGCGAGGAAACTGCGGCTAGGAGGGCCTGCGTCATGCTTAGAAGGCCCAACCCTTGCCTCGGGCTGCCCCTACCTGGGAGCAGACCCCGAAGGCCCTCCTGACAATGAGGGCGGGGCAGGCCCGGCACAGCCCACCACTGTCCACCGTGGAGGTTGTTCATGCAGCTTATCACCCAACTGGGGCGCTGTGGGGGTCAGTTAACAACAGGGTACAGAAGGGCTGCCCCTGGGCAGCAAGACACAGATGGCCCCACTATGGTAGGAAACGCAGTGTGGGGAGGCTCTGCCCGACGGGTAGAGGGCATGGCCGGGGTGGCTGATTTGGGCAGATCTCTCCCCGCCCCATCCTCTCCTGAGCCTGGGGGGCTTGGGGACCACTCACGGCCATGTAGGGCTTGCAGCCAGCATCCATCGTCTTGGCCACAGAGTCCACCAAGTAACCACTGATGCCGAAGTCACACATCTTCACATGGCCCTCCTTGTTGATAAGGACATTGGAGGGCTTCACATCTGCCAGGAAAGGACATGCCTCAGCCACGTCTGTGGAGCATGACTGGAGGCAGGTGCCGTGCTCTGCAGAGCTGTGTCCCCCTCCCTCACCCAAGACCCCTCCTGTGCCCCCTCCTATGCCCCAGTGGGCAGGTTCCACCAGGGTCCCAAGGGTCAGACCAGGGAACTGAGGCTGTAAGAGGTGTCGGGCTAGCTGACAGTCATACTTGGTCCTCAGGGAACAGCCAGGACGTGCCCAGCCCAGCCAAGCCACTGCAAAGAAGGCAGGACCCCAGGTGCTTTGCTGGGGGCGCCACGCCTGCCTCCGCCCTCCAGACGTGAGGTGCAGTGAGAGCCTGGCTTGTGTGGGTGCTCCCAGAGGGCAGCAGATCAATTAAAGCCTGGGAGGCAGGATCTGTGTGTTTGGACATGGAGGCCCCACAGACCAGCATGGGAGACCAGCCTAGCAGGGATTCTCCATACAAATGCGCACAGGACACTCGTATCCCCTTGCCCTCCATGGGGATGTGTGTAAAGATGGAAATGCACATAAAAAGGACCAGAAGGTTCCGTGCCAAACGCCAACCACAGTGACCTGGAGGCGGGGGCTGGGATGGGCACCCAGTGGTCAACGGGAACTAAGCCTAATTCATTTTTTGGAAAGCAGTAAATCTGTAAAAATAGACTTGTGCTCAGCAGCAAAAAGGAACAAACCGATACCACACCAGACCCGGGTGGGTCCAGAAACATCAAGCTAGTGAGGCTGATGTTCCAGAAAGGGCGAAACCAACTCACCATGGGAAAACCAGACTTGTGGCTGCCTTAGGCACATGAGGGATGGCAGGGAAGAGGCCCAAGAGAACATTCTGGGCTGGGGTGAGGGAATTATCCTGCATCTTGGAGGGAGGTGGTTGCAATGGGTGTGAACGTGATTATACGCACTCTGTGCTGGAATTTCATGATTTGTAAACTATACTTTAGAACAGAACCCGGTCCACCTTTCTCAGGACAAAGGTAAAGCCAGTCCTTGCCTCGAACACCAGCAAACATGAGGGGAGGCAGCTGCAGGGCTGCAGGTGGAAAGCGGCTGGGACCCCACTGGGCACGTCACAACTTATCACCTCTCTGAGCCTCAGTTGCTCATAGGGAGACGTCTACCCGCCTTGGCCTGGGATCCCTCCCACTGGCTGCACCGTGCCTGGGTGGCTGCCGGGCACTGACCTCTGTGGATCACCGACAGCTTGCTGTGCAGATGCTCCAGAGCCCGCACGATCTGGCGGTGGGGTGGGGAGGAGGGAAGAGACAGGACTCTGTTATTGCTGGTCACGTCAACAATGACAGCAGTAAGACCCCATCCATGTCCACCTGTCTCCTGCTCCCGCTGCACAGGCTAGGCACCTCCTCACCCCAGCCTCCTGCCCTGTCCTGGCATTTGCCTCAGCACCCTAACAATCCCTGTGCAGACACACTCAGCCTCCTGCCTCCTCTCACCCTCCCAGGCTCACCTCCCAGGGAGCCATCATCATCACTGCCTGCCAGGCTCTTCTTGGGTAAAACCCAGCTCTTGGCAGCCTTCCTGTCCCATCTTCCCTCCCGTGGCAGAGCCAGTATTCTAGCAGCTTGGAGCCATTTCCCTTGGGAAGGCTGGGTGGGGAGCCAGAGGCAGGCATATATTGTAAATGTTTCCAGATGCAGTGAGGATTGAACCAGTGTCACTAGTTCTATTTTCCTTTTTCCTTTGGCTACTGGGATGCTCAAGCCCAGTGTTGCTACCCTCCCTCAAGGACTTTTTAGACTCAAAAAGCACACATTTTGGATGCTAACCTTTCCCTCAACTCAGCTTGTACCTCTGTGAGCTGCCCCGGGGCATTTTCAGTATGATGCTGTTGTAAATACTAAATTCCTTTTTTTTAAAAAAAATGGTCTGGAACTCAAGAGTTGGAATCAATGGCTCAGACACCTGGATCTGCCAAATCTGTGGGGCTCCAGGAGCCCCAGGAGCCGAGGTCTCCTAAGCGTGAAGGCTCTGGTCTGGGGTGGAGGAGAAGGGCCTATGCAGGGCAGCTGCCCAGGTTCAGGGGGCACACTGATGCCCAGCTCTGCCCAACACACCAGCATCTGGCAGGCTCCATGCCTGCTGGAAGGGCTGGGCCTCTGCCTATGCACCTGGGACCCCCAGCCCACCCAGGCCACTCACAGACACAGCAATCTCCCCGAGGATGTCCTCTGGAATTGTCATGTTTTTATCCAGCACCTTCCGGTAGAACTTGTCCAGGGATGTGTCCATGAGCTCCATGCAGATCCACACATCTCCCTGTGGGTGACACCCAGAGCTCAGCCAGGCTGCCTGTGTCGGCACCACCTACACTGCCCGCCCCAGCACCAGCCCCAGCCCCCTCCTCAACGTGTGCCCACCCACTCAGCCACAGTTCACCGGGCTCCCACCCACCCCCCACTTGCCCGCTTCTCCCCACCCTCCACTTGCCCACGTCTCCCCACCCTCCAGCTCTGCCTGCACTGCCAGGTTCGGGCGCCAGCCTCCCCCATCTAATCCCTAATTCCAGGTGTCTCCAGGGAGGAGGGGGATCAGCACAGAGCCTCACTGGGTCCCTCCACCAGAGCCTCAGGATGCACCTGCACCAGCTCCATGGCAAGAGCCGGCCCTGCGGACCGACAGACACCTTCATGCCACCTGACCCTGGCAGATGGCTCCCTGCCTGCAAGGACCTGCTCCCTCTTCCCCAGTGAACTCCTGAGAACCCTCCTGACAGGAGAGTTAGGAGATGTGCACGGGGCACCCACAGGCTGCAGGGGCCCCATTGGCTAGGAGCTGGCACAGGGGATGCTGAGCTCTTCATGAGTGAAGAGTGAGGCCAGGTGAGGCAGCCCTGACCTTGCCTGATTGCTGGACTGATGCCCTGACCTTGCCGCAGCTCCTTGAGGGGCAAATGACCAGTATGAGCCCAGCATCGCCCAGGCTCCCAGCCTCCCTGCTCACCCACACCCACCCGGCTTGGCGGAAGGCAGCTCCACCCTTCCAGCCTCAGTCACTCCCTCAGCACACACCCCATCCTGCCCACAAACCTAGAACCCAGATCTCATATCTCCACGGCCACTGCTTGCTCAGGCACGCCACGCCCCGTATGCCATGGGGATGCGAATGGCCACACAGGCAGAACTGAGTGCAGCCGAATGCTAGGCCCCAGGCCATGTCATTTAACTTCCGTGTCAACTTTAGGAGGCACCCACAACCACCAGCCTCATTTGACAGACAAGGAAACTGAGGCACCGAGCAGGACAGTAACAGCCAGGAGGTGGGGGAGCCTGGTGGTCTGGCAGGGTTGGTGCCTCTGGGAGCCGTGCTGGCCCCAGGTGGCTCCCCGTGTCCCCAGCACGTGGCACACTGGAGGGACTGAGTGACAGTGGGTTGCAGGCGACTGATGGGTGGGAGGTGGAGCTCCCCAGCTGTACCACGCGAGGACACACCTCTCTGAACAGTGCCCCGTAGAAGGTGACAGTGTAGAAGCAGTCGACTGTGCGCATGTTGATGTCCAGGTCCATGAGCAGCCGCTTCTGCTCCTGTGAGTTCACAGTGGCCCGGATCCGCTGCAGGGAAGGACTGCCGTTCAGAGGTTGCTGTGGCAGAGGCCAACACCCCCACTCATGACAGGAGGGCCAGGAGCTCAGAGGGCCACTGCCTAGTGTGCCCCAAAAAGCCTGGGCTCGGTACTGGTCACTGAGAGGGACAGGCAGGGCCCCACAGCAGGGCTCAGCTCGCCTCCTCCAGGGAGCCCTCCCAGGTGCCTCCAGGCCCTGCTCACCTTCACGGCCATGATGGTGCCGCTCTGGGCGTGCCGCACCTTCTCCACCACCCCATAGGCTCCACGGCCCAGTTCCGAGATGGTCACCAAGTCATCAGCCTCCACCTCAAAGTTCTTGAGGGATGGAAAAGAGAGGGAGTCAGCGGCCACCAAGCTGGAAGCCAGTCCTCACCCCTCACCCAGTGGAGATAGCTAGGCAGCATGAAGAGGACCAGCTGGTTAGATCTGGGCTCAAACCTCATACCCACCACTCCCTGCTGTGTGACCCTCAGGAAGTCACTTAACCTCTCTGAGCCTCACATTGCCCTCTATAAAATAGGCACAGTGCCAACACCCCAAGGCTGCTGTGGAGTGTGACCAAGACACCCATGAAATGCCCCGCCAGCAGGCAGAGCTCTGAGAAAGAGGGGCCCTGTCCCTCTTTCCCCAACCCCACTCAGCTGATTGGAATGAGTCAGTCATTCAAAAACTGTTACCAAGCAGCCACAATGTGTTTTAGGCACTGGGGCCACAGTGACAACAAAACAAGTCTTGCCTTCACAGATGTGTCCCTCTCTTGGGAGGGACACAAAAAGGAACAAGCAAGTAGATGAATAGGACAGCAGGTGGTGAGTGTCAGGGGGTGCGACAGCCTGGAGGGGGCATCGTCAAGGACAGGCCTAGGAAGTGGGGTTTCTTTTATTTGTTTTAGACAGAGTGTCACTCTTGTCACCCAGGCTGGAGTACAATGGGGTGATCTCGGCTCACTGCAACCTCCACCTCCTGGGTTCAAGCGATTCTGTCTCAGCCTCCTGAATAGCTGGGATTACAGGCGCCTGCCACCACACTGGGGTAATTTTTGTATTTTAGTAGAGACAGGGTTTCACCATGTTAGCTAGGCTGGTCTTGAACTCCTGACCTCAGGTGATCTGCCCGCCTCGGCCTCCCAAAGTGCTTGGATTACAGGTGTGAGCCACCGCGCCCAGCTCTTTTTTTTTTTTTTTTGAAACGGGGTCTCACTCTGTCACCCAGGCTGAAGGGTAGTGGCATGATCATGGCTCACTGCAACCTCCACCTCCTGGGCTCAAGCGATCCTCCCACCTCAGCCTCTCAAGTAGCCAGGACCACAGGCATGCACCACCACACTGACCAATTTTTTGTATTTTTGTACAGACAGGGTTTCGCCATGTTGCCCAGGCCTGGTCCCGAGTTCCTGAGCTCAAGTGATCCTCCTCCTGCCTCAGCCTCCCAAAGTGCTGGGATTATAGGTGTCAGTCCCTGCACTTGGCCTGGGAGTAGGGTTTGTGTTGGGAGGACCTAGGCATAACACGGTCCCTGAGACAGGATTCTCAATGGCTAGTGCCCTTCCGAAGCTTCTGGAAGCAGAAAATGCAGGCTTCCTAGGTGCTGGCCTGAGGGAATGATCCAGCAGGTCCAGGGAGGCCTAGGAGCCTGCACGTTCAGTACTCTCCGCTAGGGCTAGGATGAGGTGCAGGGCCGTGCTCTCAGCTCAGAAACCTTCCTACCAGCTCTGAGCTTGCCAAGCTCCAGACAGGCAGCCAATGGTCCTCATTCCCTCCAGCAGGGTCAAAGAGTGGGTGGCCCAGGGCCACACAGCCAGCAGCGCAGGACAACACTCTTCTCCACAGCCTGACCTCTCTGACCCCTCAGTCACCTCCCCGCATAGTGACCCTGCAGGGTCAGCTGTACCCACTCGTCAGGTGAAATGAGAGGCCCTGCAGGGGTGGCGGCTGGCACCTACTCTGTCTCCAATGGTGATGAAGGTCCGGGAGTCCAGGTTCCGGGGGGGTCTGTGGAGAAAGAAGACTCCATGAGCTTCAGAGAGAACCACACCCTTCCTCCAACAGCAGCAGCAGATGGGCCAGTGTGGGGCCTGGCGTGGGAACCAGGTATATCCTGCCCCGGAGGCACCTCCTTGGACCACCTCCTCTCATTGGCTGCCGAGCATCTACATGAGCTGGGCACGGCCTCATCGAGCCTCCAAGACGGGGTGAGAAGTGAGCAGAGCAGAGCAGATGGTGCTGCATGAACCCCAGCAGCTGTCACCTAGCTGGACCCACAGCAGGTGCTGCCCAGAACAGGACGAGGCAAAGCAGAGCTGGCCCCACCTGCCTCTCACTCCTTCCACTGAGCCCTGTTCGGGAAGCCTCTCCAGGGTGAGCCAGGGAGAAACTGAGGCAGACTCACGTAGGGTTAGGCGCGGGTGGCTTGGACATGCAGGATATCCGTAGATCCTTCTTCCTCTTGGATTTTCCTAGAATGGAGAGAAGGTGAGGCTTCTGGCCTATCCCTCAGTCATCAATGTCCCCTGCACTCCCCTTGGGCTGGGCAAAGATGGAGACAGGGATGACTCAGGCCCTGGCCCACAAGGATGCCAGCCTCTGCGATCAACCTTGCCGGGAGCCCCCTCTCTCCAAGCCAGACCGTGAGGCCTTCAAAGGGAGGAAGGAGGCCCACCAGCCCTGCAGGGGAACAGAGCAGGACAGACCCAGGCCTAGAGGCTGGAGCCCAGGGCCTTATCCCAGCCCTGCCCACTGGGCACATCTTGAGTACCTCCCTGGGCCTCAGTTTCCCCATCTGTGAGGTGTCCTCACTGCCATGCCTGACTAGCCAACAGGACGTGGGGTGAGAGGGGCCCAGCAGGGGTCCAGCCAGCACCTGCAGCAGCCACTGTGCAGGGGCCTCATGGCCGCAGGTAGCAGGATGAGGCTCACACTACCTCCAGGATGAGGGCCAGGCCCCCAGAGAGGGCAACAGGCGGTGGAGCAAGCGGGGACTCCAGCCCAGGCTGCCCTCCAGGCTAGCTCTGCCGGGCCCTGCTCACCCTGGAGGCCAACACCTGATGCCCGTTTCTCTCCCTCCCCTGAAAAGTGCTGGCTCTCTCCCCTCCCCTGCACTGGGCAGGCCACAGTCCTGGGGCAGTACCTTCCTCACTCCACCCCTGGGGGCAGGTGAGAGGCCCCAGTGTCCACACCTCTCAGGCTGGCTGCAGGAGCATGGCCAGGGGCACAGCAGTCAGCTGGTACTAACGGAGGGTCAGCATTTCTGGGGCTCCAGGCACAGTGGGGCTGGCATGCAGAGGGAGCTCCCTGTAGTCAGGGCTGCCCTTTGAAGAAGGCATAGCCGCCATTCCACAGGCAGGAGAAGCAAGGATCAGAGATGGCAGGGTCACCTGGCGCTCTGGCACCATCAGGCAGCAGGGCTGGGAGTGACACAGCTCCCCGAGACCACCCAGTACAGACATGCTGGCCACATTCCTGCCCTTGCGGGAGCTTCTGCCCCATTTCCCAAGCATGGTCCTGCCACACCTTGGCCCTCACCCACCACCTCCCACTCACTGCTGCTGGCTCAGCCTGGCCGCTGGCACTGGGGCCTGGAAACTGCCCATGGCCCTGCTGCCACCTGCCAAGAAGACCCCAGTCTCTGAAGCCGCCTCCAAGTCAGGTTCAGATCCAGCCTTGGCCACAGTGCAACGCAGACTTGTGGCCCCATCTGAGAGCCACGCACTGGGGCCCAGTAGCCAACCCAGCCCGGACAGAGGGCAAAGGCTGGTTACCGCCACTAGGAAGACAAGGCCAGAACAACAGGAAACAGAAGAGCCTTGGCGGGGACAGGGGTCCCAGGGTCCATCCTGGGGCAGGTGGGCAGAGTGCAGGGGCTAGGCAAGCAGATACCTGCAGCCTTTCCACTAAAGCCGCCCCGGGGACCCCGCTGCCAGGCCCCAGAGGCTTCAGGAAACAATGGCATCCACAGACAGAGGCAGCAGCAGCAGCAGCTGCCGCCACATGCACTGGGTGCCTGCCTGCTAACCGCTCACCCGGTGAATCAATCGCCTAGTCACCACTCCTGTGTGAGGCGTTTTTAACTCATTTGAAGATGCAGCGACACCCTGGCTGTCCGGGACTGCATGGGTCTCACGGCGAGTCTGTCAGAGCCACAGCACTGGCCACAGGCAGGGCCCTTCTCATCTGTGACTCCAGATGCTCCCACAGCCCCACACTTTACTTGGCCAACAGGCTCAGAGAGGTGAAGCCACTTGCCCCAGGCTGCGCAGCAAGTCAGGGTTCTGACTACAGTCCCTCCTGAGTTGGTTGACTTGGAGACCCCAACAGGCCAGGCCACGGCTCACAGCACCCCTGCCCCAGGGAGCCCTCCCTGAGGCTGAAGGACGGGTCCAAGTCTCATGCTCAACAAGAAACGGCCACAGAATCTGGAGACGCAGAGGCTCAGCACACTCTAACAGGAAAAACCATGGCCAGCAGCTCCTGAGGCCACTTCTATCCTGCCTCTGGGCCAAAGGCTCTGAACTTCAGGGGCTCTGGGTTTGGCATAGGGCAGCCACAGTAAACCCCAGCTCTGCGATCCTGGCATGGTGCCCTCCTCTGCACCTTGGGTTCCTCATGTACAAAACAGCTTGAGGCAGAAATGCCACCCACCTGCCCCGCACAGTGCTGCAGGATGAAGCAAAACCACGTCTGCAAGGCGCTCAGCACAGGGTTCACTGCGCAGATGGGGACCTGTTGTGGCCCATAAATGGTCACCATGGATATGACCAGCCTCTCTGCAGAGGTGAAAAAAAAAAACTGACCTAAGTAATGAGAATTACAGATAGCTTTTATTCCTGATGTCAGGCTTTTTGTAATCAGAATATAAAATATTTTCTGTTAAAAATGAAAGCTCTGCACAGAGACCCTCGGCCTTGACCTTGCCCCAGCCCCTTGCAGTCCCATCCTTTTCCTGTGGGGTCCACGCCACACCCTCCCTGCACTTTCTCTGCTCTTGGTCCCTCTGGCCCAGCCTGCCACCCACCTCACGCCCTGGGATTTGGGGATGTTGTATCATGTGCCCCCCTTTCACCAAGCCTCAGTTTCCCCACCTGTCAAGGGCACTTGCACATATGGGCTGGATGGGTGGGGACCACGTTCCTCACAGGCCTGGGGGGTATATGGCCTGGCCTCTGCATCCACCTGCCTGTTGGGGACACCGGACTTGCATCAGGAGGGCCGTAGGCTCCACAGGGAAGCCACCCAGCTGTCAGACGGAGTGGGTGAGGCCGTCATGGAGACAGCCCAGAAACAGGCCTCAGGCTGCCACAGACGTCAGAGCTGGGCCCAGATGGCCAGGCAGCCCAGGGCTGCCCAGGTGCAGCCGTTGTGGCTACCGTCACCACAACAAACAGAGGCTCTCGGCGGCCACTGGCAACCCATGACAAGCCCGCCTGTCCCAGTTCCCAGCACGGGGTGTCCTGGGGTGTCCTCCATATACTCTAGCCTCAAAGCAGCCCCCAGGCAGGGGTGAGGAAACGGAAACTGACCAGAATTCAGCCACTGACCTGAGGCTACACCGCAGGTAAAGAGAGGTGCCCCCAGACTAGGACACAACTGTCACTGGCCGTGGCAGCTCTGCCCTATCTCCTCCCACTCACCCCCCACTAGAGACCCGACCCTTGAGTGAGCCCTTCTCTGAATGAGACACCTCCTTTCCCATCACAGGGCCTTCATGCATGCCCTTCCCTCTGCCTGAAATGCTCTTCCCTGCGACTGTCCCAGCTGCTACACGGTCTTGCCTTTCACCAGTTCAGAGAGGCTGCCTGACCACTCAGGCCCCAGTGACTGGCTCTCCCTGTGGCCTGCTGGTTTCTCTGCTGTGGAGTCCCATAGGTGGCCGTTCTGCGTTACCATCTCAGCCAGCCAATCTGCAGATCACCTGCGAACAAACGCTCTGGAGCCAAGGCCTGGGCTCAACTGCAACCCTGCCCCTTCCCTGCTGTGTGCCCTCAGGCAAGTGGCTTCACCTCTCTGGACGTATGTGAAGCGGAGACTACAGACCAACCTCCCAGGGTTATCAGCGCCATGCCGTAGCAATGCCTGGCGCGCGGAGATTAGATGGAGCCATCTGGGAGTGCACAGCTCCGGAGATAACACCACCCTCAGCCCCAGACCATCCCTGTCCACCCTCTCAGTGACTCCACGAGGGAGTAAGGGAGGTTCACGTATCTGTTGTACCAAGCATGCGGGAGAAGAGGCGACTCAGAGAGGCCACACGGTGGGCTTCTGGTGAGGAGTGGCCACAAAGGCAGGTCTGCCTGGCTCCCACATCCAAACAGCAACAGCCTGAGGGCAGGGCCCCCACTTCAGCTGCTCCTTCTATCCTGGGCCTGGGGAGACTGAGCTGTGTGGCCTCTAACAGTCACCCACAGGGGCAAGGTGACAACCCCTCCTCACAGCCTCTGCTCTGCCTCTACTCATAAAGGCAGCCCCCACGCTGTGCCACACCATGCCGCACCACACCACGCCACACCACGCCGCGCCACATGAAGGAGCATCACCAGGTTTCCGACAACAGAAGTAACCCCTGCTCCTAGTTCACTGCCCTCACCTGACTTCTGGATGTTCCAGGAGGTCCCTGTTCCACTGTAGAAGTTCTGGGCCCGCCAGGGAAAGAGCCACAGGGGCTGGGAGATGTGAACAGCAAGAGGCGCCGCCCTGCCCCAGGTCACCTCTATTCCGCAGGGTCCCTCAGAGGGACAGCAACGAAGCCAGCCCACTCCAAGGCACGGGGAAAACTGAGGCCCTGAGAAGTGGGCGCAGGCTTTTGCGTGGGCAGATGTACCTCGATAGTGAATGCATTTGGCTGCGATCTGCCAGACACTGGCCCCTGTCCCCAGGACAGGTGCCATCAGAGGTCCTGAGGCGCTGCATGCGCCACTGCCAAGCACCTGCGGGCAGTAGGGGGTGGCCATGCACCTTCAGGCAGGGTCCCTTGCCCTGAGGTCCTGGGGCCCCTGTCTCAGGCTCTGGAGAGGATGCAGGACAAGGGGAAGGTCCTCCCATCTACCCAAGCGCCTGCTCCATGCCAGGCCCAGGCTGTCCCATCTGGACTCATACACAGCCACTGCAGGCCCTACCTTCTCTATCCTCACCTCGTAGGAGTGCAGCAGGCTAGGGTGAAAAGGAGTGACCAAGGCTCTGCCCTCCACAGCCCTGCCCTGCCTCTGCCCGGCTGTGCGAGGCCACCTGGTCAGGGCCTGGCCTCTAGGGCCTCACATCCTCCCCACCTCTCCACCCTACGGGGACTTCTTCACCTGCAGAGCACTGGAGACCTACCTACCTGGCAGTGGCCCCTCCCCGGTGATGCTCCGGACCAGTACGGCTCAGGAGCACCCCTAACATCCAGTGGGAGGCCAGGTGCTAACCTGCACAGGGGCACCCATGGCTGCCAGAGGGTCCTCCCGCCCAATGCCCACAGCCCAGC